TGTTTACTTGCGTTTACCACGAAGGAAAACTTCCATATAATGGAACGAATACTGGGATTCACCGATGTAAAAACGCACAGATAACGTTGGATTTTCCGTACGCAAAACATGAGTAAACGTTTGATAAATGCCGCGTTTTCCGTGAATTTAATCTTCGTTTTCCGTACAGTGAACATTAGTTTTTTTGCCGTGTCTGTGATATAACTTTCTTGTGTGCACAAGAGGATCTGAGAAATTAATATATGGAAGAGAAAAGCAACAGTATGGGTTCCTTACTCATTTCCCACATTCCCATACTTTCTTCATATGCTGCACTGTGCAATCTTTCTGCTATTGCTGTAATTCATATCAAAGAGTAACCTAAAGCAAATGCCACAACAAGGAATATGTGTGCGAAATTAATGTACCTTTGCATGTACCTCACAGAAACAAACTCATAGTTAAGTTAAATTCAATAGAAAAAGTTATTGTCGATAACCAAAGTCACCATGCTCTTATCACTTTATTACCATGGCTTGGAAATGATTACATTATCTGAGAGCAGGCATGCAATGAGGACAGTGGCAACTGGCCTTCAAAGTGGTGTGCAGCTCATGGATCACTTTGGTGGTAGTAGAGGGAAAAAGATCTTCATATTTATACCGAGTCAAGGTCTGTATTTATTTGAACTGTTACTTAAATTAACTAAACCCTTACATATCCTATTTAACCTTTTCTCTTCAAATGGTACACGTGTCTTGTATTAGCATAATTCTAGTTATGCCTGGTTTTCTGTAAAACTTGTCTTTATGCTTGTTAAGTTCACCTTTCCTGCAGCATGGCAGTTCCAAGCACAAATTAATAAGAAATTAGCCAACCTCAGGACAGTAAAAACGTTCAAGGGTCATTTGTAATCGTATCAACTTGAGGATAGTCATTTTTTCAAATATTAACCAAATAACAGATGCCATCTATATCAAACTGCATCCCCATATACTTGCAAGAATCTTCTTAAGGCCAATTTTTACTCTCCTGTATCAAATTTCAGAGGAACTCATTGAAAAGCTTGGCATTAATGGACGAGAAACAACATTGTCACTGACAACCATGGAAAACAAAAACACCAGCATCAAGAACAGTCATGTGCATGACTACTGCATTTTTCCAAGTTTTAACCAAGTAACAGAAGCCAACTATATCAAATTGCATCCACATATACTTGCAAGAATCTTCTAAAGGCCAATGTTTAGTCTTCTGCATCAAATTTGTAAACACTTTTCATAACTGCATACATAAACTGTTCTATCCCTACAGCTATGCAATATTCCATTCTTTTACCCACGGTCACTTTACCGCCAACATCTACAGCCTCTTCAACATCTTCATCATCCACAGTCACCTTACCATCAACATGTACAGCCACTTCCACATCTTCATTATCCACACTCAGTTTACCACTAACATCTGCAGCCACTTCAACATCTTCATCATCTACAATCAGTTTACCACCAACATCTACAGCCACTTGAACATCTTCACCATCCAGTCACCTTACATCCAACATCTGCAGCCACTTCAACATCTTCACCATACACAGTCACCTTACCACCAACATCTACAGCTACTTCAACATCATCATCCACAGTCACCTTACCACCAAAACAGCCACTTTCACATCTTCATCATATACAGTCAATTTGCCCCCAACATCTACAGCCATTGCAACATCTTCATCATCCACAGTCACCTTACTGCCAACATCTACAGCCACTTTAATGTCTTCATCATCCACAATCAATTTACCACCAACATCTACAGCTACTTCAAAATCTACATTATCCTTAGTCACTTTACCTCCAACATCTACAGCTACTTCAACATCTTCATCATCCATGGTCACTTTACGGTCAACATCTACAGCTACTTCAACATCTTGAACACCCACAGTCACCTTACCACCAATATCTGCAGCCACTTTATTATCTTTACCATCCACAGTCACCTTACCGCCAACATCTACAGCCACTGTTACATCTTCATCATCCACAGTCATTTCGCCTCCAACATCTACAGCCACTTCCACATCTTTATCATCCACAGTCAATTTAACATCTGCATCATCCACAGTCAATTTACCACCAACATCTACAACTACTTCAAAAACTTCATCATTTACTGTCACTTTACCTCCAGCATCTCTATCCACTGCCTGTTAGTTTCGAAACGCTTAGTTAGTACACACTCTATTAACATTTTTGTTCTGGTTCATTTTTATCATGTCTTTCGTCAGTTAATGATTATTATACAATAAGTTTGTTATCTCCAATAAATTCCCATTTAGTACATGTGTAAGATTCTATTTCAATCATCTCTATTAAATCATTGTTACAAAATCATCGCTGCTAGATAATCGCTATCGTCAGGAGCTAGACCAAAGTCTTCATTTCTTTGACATTTACAATGTTTACCTTTTGTCTGTGTTATTGGTGTAGTTCTCGTATTCAGTTTTCTGTGTAATCGCTTTATTATTAGCTAGGTTAATGTTACATTTCGCTTTGCATTTTTCTTAGTTTAGTTTCTGTTGTATTTTCTTTTAGTTTGAACTACACACAACTTCAATCGCAACTTCCATTATTGTAGGAGACAGAAAATAAACGTTATATGGTGTGGTCTTCGGCGACCGCACGCAAAATATCGCGGGCGCTCTTTCCCACGAAAAGCACATGTTTTGTTATGGAGTTACACTGTCGTTTCGTTAGGACAAGTTTTCCTTTCTATTTAGAAGGCACAATAACTTGTAAGTATGCAGTATTTCGGTTGTTCGGTCAATATCATCTTTGCAATAGTCGCGTTGTTGTTATTTCAGCGAATCTTTCTCTTTCACGTGCAATTTGTGAATGGAATGAATACAAGTTATGTGCAGATTAGAAACGAACTAGCAAGTGAACAACTGATTAAAGTACAGTTTCAAGTAGCTATGAGTGGACGCTACAATTATAAAAAAGTACTTCCTAGCACTATCATTTAAAATTCATAACATCATTTAACGTTCTATGTGCATTCCAATTGTCTGCTCAGCCACTTGGGAAACCTTTTGAGGTTATCTTTGTTCGAATTTGATGAATCTCCTGTTAAGGACACCTGCCAGAAGGCTCATTCTTATTGAATCGATTATTGGTTAGTTCACTAATTTCAGAATGATCTTAGATACGTACAAAGTTGCAATGTTTCTGTTTTTTCTGCATTTCTATTGGTTTTGTAACAGACCTTTCGGTGTCACCACGCGCATATTAAAGATTAGTTTAGCGTCCCTTTAATCAGTTCTTCTTAAGTTTTGAGTTGTCTTGACAAACTTTCGCTTTCTCATTTTCTCAATCTTTGGCACGAGTGGGACCAATATGTGAGTACTTTTGTAACTTTGTTTTTCTGGTCTACCTTTTGAGTGTTGGGCAATAATATACGAACAGATATTCCATTGTATTCCAGTATTCACGATTGATTTAAGATTTAAAGGCCAAAATTGTACCAAAAGCAAGTGAACGCCCACCATCTAGATAAGAACAATGGGCTGTTATCCAGCCACCTAAAATTCTTGTAATTTGTATCGAAACTTTTGTACTTTGTACTGTTTTACTTGTATTGCTCTTTGTCATTTTAAATCTCTTTATTGACGTTTAGGCCAGGTTCTTTACACGTGATTCGTTGATTATGCTTTCCACAACATTTTCATTATATTGATAGAGCTTCATTGCATTGTTGTTTCAATTTACAATCGATAGATTGATTGATTGTGCAATTGATCGTAATTCTTCATCTTTGATTGTGGTTCATGGTTGATTTTTTTTCAAGAATACAGGTTCGTGCACACAGTCAACTTTGGTTTGTTATCTCGATCTGTAAAATAGTCCCTGACACCTCGTTAACCGCGTTTTGGAGCGACGCCCCTTGGAACTGGAGACACTAGATTTTTTGGGTCATTGCAAACGCTAAATCTCCAGTTATTCTTAAATCTACACGTTGTGGTTCGAGGTTTTAGGCAAAGTTCTTGAAGAAATGGCCAATTGCTGCATCATACCTTCAAGCCGGCTTCCACATGTGGAAGTTCACAACGTGACGGACGGAGAGTTACGTAACAAGCGATCACGTCCACAGGAAATCGATTTAAAAAATAAAATCATAAGTTCATCAATTTCTACCTATATGATGCCATCTGAATGGAAAAGAGCTAAGGTAACTCCAATCTACAAATCTGGAGATAGGAGCGACCCAAATAGCTATCACCCAATCTCAGTTCTTCGGTTAATTCCTAAAATAATGGAACATGCAATTCAATTTCAGCTTGTGGCTTTTCTTACAAAAAACAGTTCCTTGGCAGTACATCAATCAGGATTCCGGAAGAAACATTCCACTGAAACTGTTACTGTATACTTTATTGACCACATCTTAGAACAAATGGATAAGCAGAGGATTACTGGGTCCATTTTCATAGATCTAAAAAAACCATTTGACCTAGTGGACCACCACTGTCTGCGGCATAAACTAGAACATTATGGAATTACAGGGAACAGTCTGAAATTGTTTGAAGATTATCTTACTACTCGAAGACAGAAAGTCAAGTACAACTAAGACATGTCATCCAGTTTAACTATCTGGTCCCCCAAGGATCTATACTGGGCCCGGTTTTCTTTGTGGTATACATCAACAATCTCCCGCAAAGCCTGCTAAAGTTATCAATAGGCATGCGCACTGACGATACGGTTATCTACTTTTCTGACTCCAGCACAGAAATCATCAAGTAGGTTTTACAAAATGTTCTGAATAATGTCGAGAAATGGTTAGCAAGCAACAGGCTCGACCTTAATCAGAATAAAACTAAATGGATGCTGTTTGGTACTAAACAAAACCTAGAACATTGTTTAGACCACAGAGAACAACTCAATGGGAAAGAAATTGAAAGAGTATCAAGCTTTTGTTACTTAGGGGTTACACTAGATGAGAATCTAGATGAAGAAGCGTTTAAAATGTTAGGATGGGTCAATTTTGAAACACAAAGAAAAACCCACAAATGTGTCTTAGTTTTTAAATGTCTAAATGACTTAGTTACTCCATATTTATCGAGTTATTTCATTAGAAATCACACTATTCACACCTACGCAACAAGACGAAGGAATGACATCCACCTACCGCACCCAAAGTTAACGTTAGGGAAAAATACATTCAGATTTTTGGGCACAGTTCTTTTTAATGACTTACCCACACAAGTAAAAGAAGCCACGTTGCTTTTCATTGTTAAGAACTCTCTTAGTTTTCTATTGATACAATTCTTAGAAATGATTTCATTGCCTTTTTTTTAATTGTACTGATCTAAAAAAGTTGTACTTCATAGATATGTAATTTCCTTTCTCTCAAATTTTTTAAACTCCTTTGTACATAATTTTAAGGTAATTTGTACATTTTAAAATTTTAATCATGTAGTCTTAATTTTACACAGAGCCCCTTTTGATACCAGCCTACGGCTGATGGGGCCACCCTGCTCTCACTTTGCCAGAGCCAGAAGTTCCAACCTTTAGTGGCAGCCCTATTGAGTATTAGTCTTTTGTAGGAGATTTCAAGAGCCTAATCAAGAGCAAAAAAACCAGTAGCCCTGTTTGTCTGTATTACTTAGTTCAATATGCCTCAGGCAAAGAGCGTAAGTTAATGAGGAGTTGTCTAGCTATGAAACTCAAGGATGGATATCAAGAGGCGCACACTCTGCTTAAAGACAAAGTTATCATATCCCTACTGTGTACGTTGAAAGGCTCACCAATAGACCACCCATCAAAGCCATAGACAGTATTACATTATGTCAATTCTCAGTTCTTCTAACTGGATGTACGAACACCCTTAGTGAGAACACTAAGAATGATCGTCAACAGTCTTCCCTACAGCCTAAAGTTGAAATGGCATGATGTTACAGACAGCATCACCGAAATCCAGGAGAGGGATCACGATCAAGGCATTAAAGGGCTTTGTTAAGGCCAAAGCAAGAGTAGCCCCTCAAACTATATTCAGTAACGTATCGAGTCATCCTCCAACGCCACCATCTATGAAAGAGATGCCTTCCCCTTTGTGACATGTGTCATCATACAATATGCAAGCCCGCTCCAGTGAACAAAAAAGCCACCAAGAAACACATCCAAATCATATGTCTGCTTCGTAATTCAAACCATTGGCCCTCACAATGCATCAATTTCAAGGCTAAATCTCTCAATGGTGGCTCAAATTTGCACATTCCAAAGACCTCTGCATCAATTGTCTCATCCATGGCCATACTGTTATTTCCTGCCCCAAGGCAAGTTTTTCTCAAGTGACTGGATCTAAGGGAGTTCATTTGAGCTATCTTCATCCCTGTAATGCACCGATTGCAACTGGACTGGACTCTGCACCTGTCAGGACCAACCCCTCAGGTCAACCCAGCAACAAAGCATTGAATGGCTGAAAAAAGACGATGGTCACTGTGGTGAAAATGACAGAAAATTTATGTCCGCAGTCAGATTAGCACTACTGCCTTTTAAAGTCTAATCACCAGGTCTTGGCCAGATCATGGAAAGAAACACATTTTTGGATAACAGTTCCAATACTTCTTTCTATTCAGAGGAACTCATTGAAGAACTTGGCATTGAGGGCGTGAAACAACTACAGCATCAAGTGCTAAGCAGTTGACAATGAGGTGATGGCGGGGTCTCATTCCTGGCTGTGCTAATTTCACACTCAAGAAAGCGGCAGAAGATAATTGATCGAGCTTCCATCCACAGACTGTTCACACTATAGTGTAATTTCTACGTACATGACTTTCGGAAATCTGTAGCAACAGATGAAAGTGCTATCTGTCTTACGAGAGAGCTTAGGAAGCTTCTGTCACAGGATGAATGCTCTTATTTCAGTGCCTTTAGGCAAAACCTAAAGCATCCCTAAAGGTTGACTTAAGCTTTAGGCGTCTCTTATTGTAAACAAAATTTCCAAAAGCTAACAGTTACCTTTCATGAATCTTTAATTGAACATAAGGTGAACTTTAATAACGTACATTTTTTAGCATCCTTTAAGTGGTCTCTTTTTTGGCACAAAAGAGGGTTTTTAATTAATATTCATTTAATTTACCTCTGAGGTGAAAATTAAACAAGTCTCGCTGTTTTGATATCTTTAATTGACGCACTAAAGATAGCCTAATTGTAATCTGAACTGTCAGTAGGAAATGTATTACAAATTAGCCGACACTTGCGTTGGCAAGGAATAGCAAATTTTGTGCCATGTGCAGCAGCAAATTTTGTCAAAATATCTGAATTGAAAGCAATGGGTTTTCATTTTCGCATCTCCTTTATAGAACGCATGGAATGCGATGACAAGAAAGGATATATTTACTGCACTCATTGTAATGACTTTGTATCACGTTCAACTTTTCAAAGGCATGAGCGAAAATGTAATAAGTCAAACTTGACAGATACTTTCGGGGCGACTTCAAATTCCCATGATTTGTTTCACGAAATTTCAAGTTCATCCGACGATGAAGGTTAGTTACCTTAAATAAAGAGAGCTAGTTTCAAGGAGATTTTCTTAAATTTTATTCACCTGAAGAGAGTACAACCCCAGATGATAAAGATGTTTCCCCTTCTGACTGGCCAACAGTCTACGAATTTTATAATATTGCTACAAATGTGCCAGTGCATGGAATAAACTGAATGAATAAATCAGGGATTAATGTTTTGTCATGCTTCAAGCTCGTTTCTTTTAATACCGATGATTTGAAATTACTGACCGCCATCTATAGAGTAATGTACCCAGACAGGCAAACTGAAGAGAGTAATCTCACAGAAACTACATATAAATTTGGCTCATTTAAAATCTGGTCAACTAAGTATGGGTCCAAAATGCAACCAAGAGGAATACATTCTGCCAAGATACTAGCATCCTGGCCAGCAAAGAATGCACAAGTCCTTCAAGACGCGTTTTTTTTTTTATCTCCAGGCATTGTCCAGTATTATTTTACACATTCAATCAAGCTTGGAGAGGAACATGTCATGCACTACTTTGCATGTGCAAGATAGTTTTTAGCCCAGGAGGAATCTTATTTTGCAAACCCAATTAAAATCTACAAAAATAAATTCCATCTAGGGGGGCCAACATCGTTTATGCCACTCCAAAGGGTATATTCCAGGTTTGCCTCTGCTGAACTTGAGCTGGAGGGGCAACAAACAATTGCTGTTGTACAAATAACAAGGAATGTGTTCTTATAAAAATAACGCACACAGGCATTCACAGTCATCCCTGCATCAAAATGTAAAGGGAGCATCGTATTAGAAAAAGTAAGTATCTTTACACAGAAGAAAGTCCTAATTGCTTTAAAAAAATTGGGGTAATAAGAATGTTCAACTGTATTTCTAAAGTTCAGCTAGTTACTAAATAAATATCCAATAATTTCCTACAATTAAGATAGCTTTTAGATTAGATTAACTGTGATCTCCCTCAAAAGATTCCAGTTAAGGTTCCAGCTAATCTCTTATGAACAAGCAGATTCCATATAAACAAGTAGTATGCTTTCCAGTACAAAAGGGAACAAAATGTGACCTTGGCAAGGTACAGTCACAGTTTATAATTACATTCTATTACATAAAACTGAAATGAGGTCTTTGTTTCAGTTGGAAGCCCAACACGTAAAGTTTCCAACCCTTTTACTCCAAGGAATGACCAATAAGCAACTCTCCCTAACACACTAGCAATACATCAATATTCTGATAAATATATCAAAAAACTGTATGAAAGACATTTAGAAAAATAATAATGAGATGTTAGGGGGTGAAATGGGTAGATAGGGGCACATAGTATAAAAGTTCAAACATTTTTTCCTGAAATTCATCTGTCAACAGGTAGATTCATTATAACAAATTAAATATTCTTCTGATTAAAAGACTGCGACTCCAAAGAGTCTGTGTATTCATGCATTAACCTAAATATTACACAGCATCATTTAACGTTCCAAATTTCTGATTCTGTTCCATGTACTTTAAAGCCTTGAAAAATAAAATGAATCAGCATTGCGACAAGGAGCCTTTCGCAAAAGACTTCATACACAATTTATTACAAGGACAACTATAGGAAAGAAACTAAACTGACCAGAGATTAAGACTGTCTTAAAAAAATTACTTTGAAAGTTGTCAATTGCGGTCTGTACCAAACTCCTAAAACAAAACTAAAAAAATAAATTGGAACAAAATATCTAGGTTTAGAGAAATGAATGTGGTTATAACCTATCCACATCTTCCTGAGGCCTGGCAATATATGGATTTTGACATTTGTAGCCTGTGTTAGGCATTGAGATTCCACTTACTGAAAACTTGACATTCTTAAAACCTTACAACCAGTATGTATGAAGAGAGAGTCTCAAACAAAAAATGACAATAAAAGAGAGAGAGTCTGTTCTTGAAAGAGTTGAAATGTCTATACCCATATTTGGGTATAGACATTTGATATTTTGATGTTTACAATTTATAGACACTGTCATTTATGAAAGTCTTCCGACTGAGCAAATGAACACAGGTATACTCTCACGTTTCTTGCCCAGGCACTGGCATAGAAGCCTGGCACTGACTGTGATTCTGGTGCCGGCTCTGTGTAAAGTGGCCAGTCCACCAAAATTAAACTTGCAAAAATATTTTTTCTGTCCACATTCTATCTGCATCTTCCTGAAGCCTGGCAATATACGGATTTTGACATTTTCAGCCTGTGCTAGGCATTGAGATTCCACTTACTGAAAAACTTGACATTCTTAAAACCTTACAACCAGTATGTATGAGAGATGATTGGTTTTTAACTGATATAACATAGACAATTAGTTCTTGTGGCCCCGCTCAAGTTAAGCTCTGGAAGCTTCAGTGACCATTCAGTTCTGCTAATGCCATAATTTTTTGATGTTGTTCAGTTAAGAAGCAGATACTCTCCCACCTGGCTCTAATTGTTTTGCATTCCTTTGACTTTGAATGTCAAGTGTGCCGGAGAAAAGAGAAAGTAAATCCCTACTCAAATACACACACAGTCCTCTGGTGGTTACAGCCGACAACCGAAATGGGTCTGGCCTCCAGGTTTGAGACCTATTTAACAGCTCAGTGCATGTATCAAATAAAAGAAAGTAGAAACCATAACGCATAAAAATAAACACAATATGAGCATATCATTGCTGAGGTACCAAAGGGTAAGACCGAAGCACGGGAAATCTGCACTGCACCTCTCCACGGGATGCAAAAATAAACAAGCACTGAGAGGAGCACACAAAACTCTCTGCCTACCTGGGATTGCCTTCTCTGGACTGACTGCATGAGGTTTGAATCCTCACAAGGGACTCAGATTGTAATGTTTTTTCTTTCACTATCCTACATATGACACCATTAGCTCTCTGTGATCCAACTTGTCCATTGGGAGTGAAATGTCTTCTTCTGAAACCTGATCCTCAAGCTAAAAAAGAAAAGTGCTTGAAGTAAATGATGTGTGCTTATAACCCAGAGGCAGATCAAGGGGAGGGCCTCCTCCCCTTATTTTGGTTAATAAAATAGATGCGGATGGAAGAAAATGTGGCACAGATATACATTTACAAAACATTTGGTTTTGCCCTGTGACCAAAAAGCAGTCACTTGTAAGCTATACATATTTCGAAAAAGACCTGATGGGCTGAAACCTACTTTCAACTGAAACAATTGTAGCACAAGAAAATTGCGGTAACAACTGAATAATCTATGTACGAACAGTTGTTCAGTTTGAGACTGTACCAAGCACTGAGTCTATGTTATTGGAAGATTTTCTCATGTCTATACCCATTTTCAAAGGAAACAACATTATCACAAAGTTAAAAAGTGTAAATGTAACAGAAATATGATCACTTGTAACAATCCAGGAGCATTAACATCGGACTAGAACTCTGTCACTTACAACCCAAACCTTGCATAAAGATTCTACATTTCGAAAAAATACTAAAAAAAAAAATACTCAAACCTACTTTCAGTTTAGAAGCCATACATTCAAACGCGTGAAAATTGTGAGTAAAACCTGTCTTGTTTACTCTGTATAATTTGTCAAAAAAAATTTTTGACACTTGTCTCTGGAGCCTGAGCCAAGCATTGATACTACATATTCTTAATATACCCTTAAGCACATCTTAATTTACTTTGGACTGAGTCGGTGTTTATTACAAAGCCAAAAAATGCTTAGTAAAAATAATGTGGTCACTCACGATGATCCAGGAGTATTAAGATGACTAAAAACCTCTCGCTTGTGATCTGCAACTTGTATGGAATTTCTACTATTTGGAAAAACCTGACATTTAAGAAGCTACAACTCGTGGCCAAAGTGCTCAGCACCCCGCTCTCCCC